GGTGAGGCCAGCGCCATGGTGAAGATCAAGGCCCTCCTGTGGAGCAGTGTGGGGTCGTTCCTGTTTGAGGCCTTCAAGTGGGTCTTCCAGTGCAGCGATTACGGTGAGACCACCCCTCAACCAGACGACGCATGGTGCCTAGCCAAAGCCTATCAAATCAAACACTGGGATTGATGGCGCAGCTACCAGCCGGGTGCGGCTGCTGCCTCCCGGTGTTCCGACGCGGCTCGAGCACACCCGCCAGCAAGGGCGGCTGGCGGTCCAGCCTAGGCTCTGGTCATGCCCCTTCACCTCGCTGCGCCGTTGCCTCACTTGCCAATCAACCCCCGCTGCCAGGCGGCGGCTTCAGCGTGTGGCCGACGTTTGGCGTCAAGGCCCTGAAGTGGACGTGGAATTTCGACTTCAACCAGGGCTACGTGTGAGTGCAGAGCGCGCATGCCTTGGATTGCAGCCGCTTGCAGTGTGCCCAATGCCAGTCAGGAGAAAAGGGCGCCAATGTCGCCGGCCGGCTCCGCGCGCCTGGCCTCCCGTGGCTCTCATGTTGCCTGCAGCGCTACTCACCTGTATGCACGCATATACATTAACTGGCTTGCCGCCCTAGTGCAGGCTCATCAACGCGCAACGCCATCCCGTAGTTCGCAGTCACTATGACCTCACTGTCGCGATCGCGTCGCCCAAACACGCGCAGCGGGAGCGGCATGATCTGTCCCCACATCGTCAACTGGAGCATGCTCTTCGGCGCCGTCATCAGCTGGTGAGCGCGGGACTTGCGGGGACGCAGCTTGCACTCTGCCCAAATGTGTTGCACTCGCTTTAAGCTCCCCAGACGCATCGCACTTGCTGATCAACATGATCAACCGCCGAGCACTCTGGGGGGCTTCCATCTGCCTGCCCGTCACCGAGGGGCCCCAGATTGCATGGGCGCGTCTACTGCTCCGCCCGAACCCCTGCTGCCACACGCAGGGGCATTATGTGGCCGCTCATCACCAAGAAGGAAGGCGACTGGTGAGCGCGCCTGCTAAACTTGGACGTATGGTTTGTCACACATGGCATGCTCTTGCAGCATTCAAACCCGTGCACATGCGCACACACACACACACACACACACACACACACACACACACACGCGCACACACACGCGTGCATGCACTCGCACGCACATTTCAAGGTTCCCGGCCGGCCTCGACAGCCACGACTTCAAGGGCCTCTTTGGCTACAAGGTGTTCCTCACGATCTCAACAACACTGTGAGCCCTGACCATCGCGGACCAGCAACCTATGGCGGGGCCAGCTGCTCAACTCTGTGGTTGCTGAGGGCGCTCTTTCATGCTTTGTATGTAATACCACTGAGCGAGCTGCACGCAAAGAAGCTCTGAAGTGTGTGGTTCTTGCATTGCAGCTGCCATAACATGTGCGCAACGTCATTATCATCATCACCATCATCACCAACATCATCATCATTCGTCCTTCCCCTCCAGGGGCGAGGGCATTTACATGCTTTTGAAGGTCTTTGTCACAGGTGAGGCGCAGGGGCGTGGGGATTTGTACTCCAGCAGCTGGCGGCGAGCCGTGGCTGCCCTGCTTTGGCTTCCTTTCGCGTAGCCACCAGCATTGACTGCCACATGACACGCCAAGAGAAGCCCTTGCAAACCAGCTGCGCAGCCATCAGTCCCCTACTGGCCAGTCAACAGGTTTCTCACTTCAACCCACTCTTGTTGGCTGAGTTCGCCGCCCCTTCCAACGTTGCCCACGACTCCCGGCCGCCGTCGCAGCCGCGCGCGACATCACCGCTCGCTACAGCCAGGACCGCGCCGCCCGCGCCGCAGCCGCGGAGGGCCTCCCCGGCCCCAGCCGGGACGCGGATGGTGCGCCTGGCGGCAGCGACGGCAGCGGCGCCACCGCATACCTGAAGGATGGGGTGGTGGACACGGAGGGCGGCGCGTGGCCGGCCAACATTGAGGACTCCCATGAGCTCGACAAGGCCACCCACAAGGAGGGCGGCCTCCTGGAGTTCAAGTGAGCCGCTGATAGGCCGTGTCAATATAGGCCACGCATCAACATAGCAACAGCTGAGGATGTGAAAGCGACGATGTGATGAGCTTCAGATCCAATGAAACAGCCTCAGCCGTGTGCGTGATGTCGTTTTACCTTGTTGACCTAGTTAGCCAAGTCAAGCAAGTAGGGACGGGAACAGGCGGTCTCTTTCCTTCGTCTCCATGCGTTGCTTGCCACAGGCAGGCAAGGGAGGGACGGTGGCACGGACAACCTCGGCTTCACCCCTCCTCCACCCGCTGCTTTACCCCTGCCAAGCCGACCAATCCGAGATCGGCCCACTCGAGCATCTCCTTCAACCGCCCACTTCCGCCCCTCGACGCCCCCGTCTCACCCTTCAAAACCACGCGCTCCCCCACTGCGCCAGGGAGACCGCCGCGGAGCGCGAGCTGCGCTCCAACGTCTTCCTCGCCGGCTCTATCCCAGACTGGATCAGCCCCGTTGGCTTCCTTGTGTTTGCGGCGCTCGCCACAGGCATCATCCCCATCCTCTACCCGCCAGGTGAGGGGAGGCAGCGGTGCAGAGGCTTTCATGAGAGGGCCCTTGAATGCGAGCTGGGGAGCCGGTCTGTCGGGGCATGCGAGGGCGGGGTGGGTGGACGCGGCGAGCCGCGCGCTGGGTGTCAAGGGGAGCGGCGTGATCGTGGCCACGTCACAGTTTCCTGCTGAGCACGGAGGCGCCATGTGACAGGGATGGCTTGCGGGGCTGCATTTGCCCTTTGAACACATCTGAGTTGTCTGGACGGAGACACCAAATTCGTCTCAACCATCCCACACATTCTTTCATGTGGACCGTCGACAGTCAAGAGGTACTACGTGCTGGTGTCACTCATCCTGGCCCCCCTGCTGGCCCTTCCCAACTCATACGGTGGGCGGCGCCATTCTGCTAGCCACTCTCATGATGGGCGCACAGGAGCCAGTTTTAGCAACATGACACGCAATCTTAAAGCTTCGTCTGGGCGTATACAGCCGCTTGCACCGCACGCAGGGCTTCCCTGCAACATTGCCGGTTGCACAACCGCCGCCGCCGTGCGCGGCCTGCCCCCCACATTGCTACCAACCCGTATGCCAATCAAAATGCACTTGTCGGCCACACTACATGCGGACGCATTCAATCAAACGCAACAGGCTGCGGCCTGACTGATTGGGATAACTGCGCCATGTTTGGGAAGCTCGCACTCTTTGGCATCGCAGGCTGGGCCGGCCACGAGGTGCGTGCGCATGATCAAGGGGGGGACGTGGGCGAGCGTCTGGTCAGAAGGGCAGGCGGGTGCAAACAGGAATGATGGTGGTTTTCCGGCTCTCCAGTGTCCCTGCCGGTTGTGCATGCAAAAGCCAGGGCGCGGCCGAATCCCGCCCACACAATCCGGTCACCAACGCCCAGGCACATACTCGTTCGTCCTCCATTTGCGTTCTTTCTCCCTTTTCGTCACCAGGGCGGCGGCGCCATCGCCGGCCTGGGCATCTGCGGGGTCATCCTGTCGTGCACCTCGTCCGCCGCCGTGCTGATGCAGGACTTCAGGTGCGCTGCCGCTTTGACCGCATATGTTGCTGCTTTGGCCGTGTGGTTAGGCCGCTCCACTATCTATTTATATGACACATACTCTTGTGTTGAGATGCAACAGCATCGCTGAATGGAAACCTCAGTGTCAACAGTGGTGGAAGATCGCAGAGGCTCTCACGGACACCACGAAGTTGCGCGCGTCTCTGGGACCGGCGCAACACAGCATCCTGCTTTCGCTGCTTGCCGGAGATCTCTTACTTGACGTCCTGGGCCACGCCATTCTTTTACCGTTTGAAAATCCCCCCCTACAGGACGGGTTACATCACCACATCCAGCCCCCGCGCCATGTTTGTGTCCCAGGTGGGGATAAGCGCGCAGCTCGGCCAGGCTGGCGCCACTGCACGCCCCACCAGGGCTTCTGCCTTCAATAAAGGGCTCATGCACCGCCTGTTCTGCCAAGAAGCTTTGATACCTACCCAGCCCACATTTGCCCACCTCTGCCAACCAAACTTCGCCACCACCCCCTCCACTGACCGACCCCTGCTGTGGACCCATCTCCCAGGTCATCGGCGCCCTAATGGGCTGCTTCCTGGCCCCCCTGGCCTTCGAGCTCATCTGGGTCACGGGGCAGGTGGGCTAGCCGCATGCAGCAGCCTTGAACACTCGTGCCTGGGGAGGAAAGGGCAGATTCACCCGGGCGCCGCGGACCTCCGCAGCAGGGCTGCGGGCTCTTCGCACACATACTTGACTGCTGCAAAAAGGTTCAGGTGGCGCGGTCAAAGCTATTCACCGCCAACTCGAAATCCTCCATCTGTTCCCGCACCCGCCACACTGCCACACCGCAGGTCGGCGTGAAGGGCACGCCCTATGAGAACCCCTTCGCGGACATCTACCGCTCCATGGCGCTGCTGGGCACCCAGGGCTTCGGCTCCCTGCCCCGCTACTGCCCCGCGCTCATGGGTGTCTTTTTCGTGGCGTCGTTCGCCATATGCGGGCTCAGGGACGCCTTGCCGCGGCGCTACGCCAAGTTCGTGCCCAGCCCGATGGCCATGGGGTGAGGCGGGGGCCCCTAGAGACGTGGGCGTGCGTGTGCTCGCAAGCGCTGAGCAGCTAGGGGTGCGGGTGGTCGATAGGGAGGTGCTGCTGTGTCGGCAGGGGCTAGTCGTGCCGGCGCGGGCGCGGCGTGCGGCGGAGATCAGAGGGCGTGTGACTTGAGGTCCCCAAAGCCCCTGCGGCGCAGCGGTGCCGCCACCTCGGCTTGCGAGCTCCAGCCCACCGCGCTCTCCAATCGTCCATGCCTCTTCCCCTGCCCTCCAACATGTCATGTGTGTCGCGGCCTGCAGCATCCCATTCTACATAGGTGGGCGCCCCGGTTTCTCCCCCACGACCCGCTGCATTGCGCGGTCCCCCGCGCCACGCGTCATTCGTGTCCCCCCGCTGCCACTCTCTCAGGCCAGCTGTCATGCTCCTTTGATGCCCGCACCTGGCCCAGCGCCCCCTGCCCGCTTTTAAACCTGCCATTCTGGCCCCCCTTGCCCCTTCCTCACTCGCCAATGCCATCCTCTCTTTGACCCTTCCATTTCACATTCCTCGCCATCAGGCGCCAACAATGCCCTTGACTTCTGGGCGGGCAGCCTCATCACCCACTTCTGGACCTGGGCCTCTCCCAGCACCGCCGACGAGCTGCCCATGGTGGTGGGCGCGGGGCTGCTGGTCGGCAGCGGCGTATTTGCCGTCCCCTCGGCCATCCTCGCGATCGCAAACGTCAGCCCACCGGTGAGGGGCCACGTGCTGCTTCGGAGTAGGGGTTACGGGGGTGCACCATGGAGCGGGCTTGGGCTGGAGCAGAGCGCATGTCGTGCAAAGCCTGCAACGTGGAATCCGGGCGGAAGGGAATTGGCAACGCTGCAATTGCGCGATGTTTGCAACTAAACTTGCTGCTATTTAAACCAGGACTTGCTGGCCAATCAGCGCTGACAACTCCTCTACCGAGCGTGCACATGCACATGCGTGCGCACGCGCGCGCACACACACACACACACACACACACACGCACACGCACACACGCGCAGATCTGCATGTCTTTCAAGGAGGGTGCATCACCTTCGTCTTGATCAACTGCCAAGCACCTTGTTCTCAAAACCGAAGACCGCCGAGAGGCCCGGTCCGATCGACCTTTGCCCAGGGCCAGCGCACCGCTTGATGGTGCCGGCCCACCTGAACGACGGCGACTGCGTGCGAGATTGACATTTGCTGCTGCCGAGGGGACCCCATGCCAAGCGGTGCGCCGTCAGCGCGGGCCTGCCAGTGCCGGCCAAATTGGTGCCATCCACTATTCTGGAACGCGCTGCTGGTCCACACTCTGGGTGAGCTTCCCTCAAGCACGCACAGGTATTCCCTTAGGAACTCTCGTGATAATTGTATCAACCGATCCACTGGCCTGGGCCAGTCGTCTGCTTGTACTCACCCGCGAGATGTACACTACTGCAAGCTGCGCTCCTAGTGAGGAGTACCACTCGAGCCGGCCAGGCTCAAGGTGTTTACAAACTTGTGCCGGCTTGCCGCGTCCCCCACCGGCCTTCGGTCCCACACAGCCAAAGTCGGGCAGTATTGTTTGTGGCAGGTCATGTGCAGTTGACCGCTTTCTTGCCTTGTCAGCACACGTTGCGAACAGCAGACCGGCACATGCGTATTGTGTGCAGCATGCTGGCACATCGACATCGCGGCGATGAGGCAAGATGTATGCTGCGTTGCGCTGCAACTGTCAAAAGTGCATGTACGTCCGTGTTACGCCCCATTCGGCAAGTGTATCTCCCTCTGTGACAACGGGCGAAGCCGCAACGAAAATTGTCAGCTGCATCCCAGCTAAACCGTCTGGTTGTGGCCCCGCAAGACCAGCCCAAAAAGCTCGGTCACAGATCAAGACCTCGCCAGCCTCCTTTCCAGGTGCATCCAGCTGCCAGCACACACCTCATCGGCTCGCCCGACCTTGCGTAATTCCACACCCCTGCGCTCACTTGCATGCAGCGGCTGCCGCCACGACTTGGCCCTTGCTGCTTAGGCTGGCTGTGATAATGTGATGCATATCCTCGGATGAGCTGGTCAGCGTCATCGAAACGCTTTCAGGCCATCCGCAGCTTGGGCCGTGCGCCCCCTTACTTGTTACGGTTCTAGTTGGCCTGCCTGTTCCTGGCCCTGTGGGGCCAGATGAACTCAGATCAGACGCACCAAGGAGGGTGCATGTCAGCATAAACGTAACATACACGGAGGAAACATACGGCCCAGAAATATGGGCAGCCAAAGAAGCAGCCATGTGGGTGTGAAATTGGGGGAACCTCACAAAGGAAAGCCGGCCCGACTTGCACACCAGGTGTGTGCGACTTGGATAGCGGACCAGCACTGAGATAGGCCGCAGAGTTTAGAGGCATGAGCGAGCAACGGTGACAAATGTATTGAGCGTGACCACACAAACTGCCATTTGTTGGGGCTTTGAAATTGAAAAGTACTTGGTGGTAGCCAGCAGGTGGTGGTGACACGGTGTTACTGTACCGGGTCTGGGCCACAGCGCCATCCGCATACAACCCCAGCCAGCAGGGGCGATGCAGGCTGCTTGGTGGTGTGGTCAGGAAGGGGAGCGGTAGAAGCAAGCTGCGCGGTGTGATGCGTCTTTTAGTGCGGCGCGAAGCGCCTGCGGAAAGGCCCTCAGTCAGCAGTGGCCGGGCGTCACCCACCGCACCTCGCGTCATCACCTCTCCAACCCCACTTCACCAGTAAAATTTCAGTTGACGTTTGATAGCGTGGACAGCGCCCTTGCGCGTTTGCAGCTGGCCGATTGCATCCACTCAAGCTCCACAAGCAAATCCGAGGCCTTTCCCGCACGAACCGCCAGATGCTTTTTAGCAACTTGAGGTCCAAGTTGGGATGTGCGCGGCAGGGACGCGCAGGCAGTGATGGGCACGGAATGCCAGGCGGGCGGTGCACTGCAAGCGCAGCCGTGGGGCGCCGCGGCGTGATGTCCCTTGTGGCCGGCACGGCTGCAGCTGCGGCGACGGCAGGGCTGCATGTGCCACATGCAGCTGCGGCGGTGAGTGTGTTGGTGTGGAACCGAACAAGCTATGAGCAAACCGCGGCCGCCTCGCAAGTGTGGACTGCGCCCCAGCAGGCTCCTCAGCACTGCATGCATGCGAGCTCTAAGCCCAGCTGGCGCACCCCTCCACCATGCATTCAGCGGATCCCCCGCACACTTTGCATGCATGCCGCTGCCACGGCCTCACCACCCGGTTTCGTTGCACGTCAAAATTGCTGCAGCTCCTGGCAGCTGAGGCAGTCCTGCATGCCTCCTGCCCCCGCACGCGCAGCAGCCGGCGCGCCGCCTGCCAGCCGCCCAGCCATGCCAGTAGTAGTCCCCTACTAAATCCCCGACCCACACGCATGGAAAACCCAGGAGCTGCAGTACGAGGTGGACAAGGCCACAGGGCTGCAGAGGGTGAAGTACACACCAGAGGGCTGGCAGTACTGGACATGGCGGGACAGGTGGGTCCCTAGAGTTTCCAGGGCCAAGGATAGGAGCGATTCTAAGCAATCCAGACGGGCGCCGCCTGGTGCATGCTTTATAGAGACTGCGAGGGGCACGCATGCGCGCCATGGCGGGAGGGGACAGACATTCAGCTTTTGCCGGCCGTCGTCTGACCTGCACTCGCGCGGCACTCGTCGTCGCTGGGCGCGATTTGACAGGCGCGTGCACTACATCGAAGCAGGTGCCAACAACACGGTGCGTGCATGACGTGCATCCGGCGCGGGCAGCTGCTGGAACAAGGAGGCGGCCATTGTCCGTCACCGGGCTGCCCCTCTCCTGGGGAGCAACCTGAGCATCGCCTTTGCATGTGGTTTTGGTTTGCAGCGCACGAGCATGCACGTGCTCTCAAGCAGGCTCTCATGCATGCAACTGCATGCACACGCATGAATATGCTCTGCACAGGGCGTTCCTGTCGTCCTCGTGCACGGCTATGGGGCCAGCGCCTACCACTGGCGCTACCAGATCCCAGCCCTGGAGGCGGCCGGCCACAGGGTCTACGCGGGTGAGCTGCCCGGAGCTTGTGGGTGGCGGTGATCGTGGCAGTCACTCTACCCCAGAGCAAGGCGGGCGGCAGCGGGCTGCTTCAGCGTGTGGCGAGCTGGCGCAGGATGGCAGCCCGTGCAGCTGCGGCCGCGCGCGCCGCCTTGCGCATGGCTCATCTCACCGACCTGCTGCCCTTCCCTTGTGCCGTCGCGCACACCCTCCCAAGTCTGCCTGCTGGGCTTTGGCTACAGCGAAAAGGCGATTACCGAATACTCCAGCGGCGGCCTGTGGGCCGACCAGCTGCGCGACTTCATCACAGAGGTGGGGAGGCCCGGGCCGTGTGTGCGCCACGCAGGGGCGCGGCATCGGCTGATGGGGCCGAGACGTGGCTGGCAAGGCATGGTGCAGCGCTGCTCAAAGCTGCTTATTTTTGTGGTACGTAGAATTGAGCAGAAGCGGTCCAGCATAGGTTTGTGTGCGCCATCTTTTGCACTTTGAGCAAACCTGACAGGCAACGTCCACATGCGCAGGTCGTTGCCCGGCCGCAGTGCAGCGCCCCAGACGGCGCGCCTGCAGACGCGGAGGCGCCCCAGGGCCCCGAGGCGGTGGTGCTGGCGGGTAACAGCTTAGGGGGCTACGCCAGCCTGGTGGCGGCGGCGCGGCACCCCGAGCTGGTCAGGGGCCTCATGCTGCTCAACAGCGCAGGTGTGGCGGTCGCTCCGCACGCCCTGGGTGGTTGCAGCCCCCGATAACAAGGGTGCTCAGCAGGTCACCAGGGTGACACGGCGGTCCTGCAGGTTTCGCAGGGGGATGGCGACGTCTTTGATCAAAATGGCTCCGTCTACAGCAAGCGGACACCCAAGTCATGAGCTGGTCCTGCACCCACACCCATGCAGGCCCGATGAAGGAGGATCTGGAGGACGACCCATCCCTCGACGACGTCCCCGGGCCCGTGGGCCTCGGCCCCTGGTGGCGGCCGCTTGTGGACGCGTTCGCTGAAGTGGGCAAGCGGGCCGTGCTGTGGGTCGCGTTCCAGAGGGCGCGGCAGCCGGAGAGGATCAAGGAGGGTGAGCGGGGGTGGGCGCGCAGGACTCAGGTCCGCAAACGCAAATTCACACCTGAGAGGGGACACACAGGCGCACAGTTGGCAGAGCCGACTGCATCTGCACCTCCGATCATGGGCCACCTCCCCCCTGGAAAATTCAATCGAAAAACCCCAAGCTTTCAGAGTAGCCCTTTGAAACATCACCGTGCCCTGCACTGGCCGGACTTGAACCTCTTCTTGGGCCCTGCTCCCCCCTGCATGCCTCCCCCTCTCCGCCAGTCCTGGCCATGGTTTATTCCAACGAGAGCTCTGTGGATGAGGACCTGGTGGAGTCAATCAGGTGCGGCCGCGAGGGGGTTGCAAATCGTGTGAGGGTGCGTGATTGCTTTTTGGGGGGGGGGGGGTGAACGGCACAAGCAATTGTCTGCTGCATGTGTGTGTAAAAGCAACGGCCCTGGGACCCCCATGACGACGGTAGAAGCGCGGCATAAGGCGGTGTCACGTGGTCAGTTGCGAGGACCACAAAGTGGCGGCGGCGGGGCGGCCCAGCGCCCTTGCATTTGGCCGCTGCCAACCCCTCAGCGCCGAGGGCCCCCCTGCACCACCACCGCACCTGCCACCCCGCCACCCTTAGGGTCCCAGCGACCGACCCCAACGCAGCTGAGGTGTTCTACCGCATCAACAGCAGCAAGGGCGGCGGCGCCCCGCCCTCGGTCAACGCGCTGATGAGGAAGCTGCGCGCCCGGCAGCTGCCCACGCTGCTGCTGTGGGGAGAGCAGGACCCCTGTGAGCTCCGTCGGGTGTTGCTTGGGCCGATGATCATGACGCCTTCAAAGCAGGTTTCAAGCAGCTGCTGGGCAGCTGCCCGTTTTGCCAGTTGCACATACTCATCACGCCTTGCAAAAGAGCTTAAACCTCTCACGCCGTGTGAATTGCCGTGCCTCCGCCCAACAGGGATTACCAGCAGCCGTGCTGACCGCCTGCAGAGGATGTATCCCGAGGTGGGCCTGTGGGCAGAGCCCCGCGGCACCCTTTCACAGCGCGATGCGTGGCGCAACCTTGCCCTGCGCTTTGTGCTGTGCTGTACGGCTTCTCGTGCGTGCAGTGCATGCTTTGTCCCTCAAGGGAGGTGATTGCCGCCAGTCACTGCACTGGGCCGTATCCAATTCTTGCACACAGCGCGAGCCACTCATCCCGGCGCTGACTTCTCGTTTCCTGCGCCTTAACTTATGACCTCTTCCCGCCAGGCGTCCCGTGTGTCACTGAACGCTGGGTGCGTCTGATTGCCGCGCTAACCCCTCATGCTTCGTGGCTCCTCGTATTTCGTGATTGTGCTGGTTGGGCTGTCGCGGCCTGGCGTGGCGTCAGCAACGGGGGACAGCCCGTTGGGCTGCGACTGTTGGCAGCCCTCACTCACGGGATCACTGGCGTTCCCCTCGCCCCTCAACACGCCAGGCACTGCCCTCATGACGATGCCCCCGCGGCCGCGTCTGCCGCCATGGTGGACTGGCTCAAGGGCCTGGAAGCTTGACCGGCGGCGCCAGAGATGCCATCATGTTGATGTCACCCCATATTTTGCCTTGCCACAGCTCTGCGACGCACGAGCTCCCCGCTCTGTCTGTGGCTATGCGCAGACATTGCCGCCAAGGGGCATCCCCTGGCTGCAATCCTTCATTGCAGCTGTATTCTAGAGCTGTCCCACTTGTCTTGGCGCGGGGCGCCGCCATGCTCTGTGACGTTGGGCTCCCTTCCCAGTGCTTGCAAGTGGCACGGCCGAGGCTTTGAGGATGCGCGGCAATTTTTTGATGGATTGAGGGAGCTTGCTGATTTTGAGTTAACACTGAGCGAGTTGGAGGCTGTGCCAGCCCGTTTTGCAAAGAGGTGGATTTCTTTGCGTCGCAACACAACAACCAAACCAACAATCCACCTGACTCATGCCCGCCCTGGGGCGGCTTTGTTGGCATTCTTATGTTGCCCCTGCGTTGCAGGAGTGTGTGCAGCTGATTGGTCACCATTTGTCATGTTGTCATGTCGCATTGTGAAATGTATGGGTGGGCCAGTCCTGCCAAGCCCAGCATGGCGATGCGCGCAGCGGTGTGTGCCATTGCAGAGGTTCTTTTTGCATGTCATTGGACTGCAAGACCGTGCTTCTGGACAGCCATGCACCATGCTATGTCAACACAGAAGTATCCGCCACATGCGGCAGCGGGCGAGGACGCTGGTGTAATGCACAACCATTGCTGTTTGGTTACGGTTGTGACGAACTCGGTTGAGATGCTGGTGGTCGAGGCTGGGCGGCTGGGAGTGGGTGCCTGCACAGCACATGGGCGCCCTTGAAGCCGGAGTCATGCTGCTGCGCAGCGGCCACCGCAAGACATGTTTCTGGATGCACACGCAAGCACAGAGTAAGTGGCAAGGGTATTTCAGCTTCACTGCACGCAGCCATCACGCTCGGGGCCCATGTTGCCGCGGCAGTCGCGCACCCGTCAGCGTGTGTCACCAGTGCCATGATGGCGCATGTGCTTTGCTGAGCACAGTCAGCTTGTACATCGCAGTGCCGGCTTCCTTCTCGCAACAGACGCTGTTTCACGTTCTTCATGTCTGCCAACTCGGACTAGCACAACATTTTTCCTGCCCGCGGGTCCATGGCGCTCTCCACTCGCACTTCTCTGGTTAGAGGCGCTGATATACCACGATCGCCAGCGGCCCGGCTTGCACGACCGCTGTGCGTGCAGCACCCGCCCAGGGTGCGAGGAGCACCGCGCCCGCCATGTGCGCTCAACCGGCCAAGCGCGGCGCCCGCCGCCACAGACGCGCCCACGCCTGCGCCCTCGGCGCCGGCGCCCTCTGCTGACTGGCGCGGCGCGGAAGGCACGCCCCTCAGCAAAGACGAGGCGGCGTCGCTGCGCCGGGTGCTGGCGGCGGGCGCCGGCGTGGGTGCTGCGGCGGATTCATCCACACTCAGCGCCTCGCGGGCGGGTGAGCTCGCGGCCCTGATCAGGTCAGGGCTGGAGAAGAGCGCTGAAGACCTGTCAGAGCTGGAGGGCGCCATACTGGCGGCTGAGCAGGTCAGCAAAGGCTGCGGCGTTTTGCTTGTGGGGCGCACGTGCATGTATTGGGTGCGGGCGGCGGAGAGGGGTCCCTTGCTGGCACCGCCTCCAAAAGGCATCACCGCTTTGACAATGCACCCATCAACACTAGGTCACAGTGTGGCGCCGGGACCAGCCAGAAAACACCCCACGCCATGGTGCGAAACGCAGTGATTTGGGCTTGCCCGAATTACGCGTCAAGCCCGGGCTCTCCCCGCTCGTCCCCACGCGCCCCCTCCCCTCCCAGGTATCCCTGGGCCGCCTGCCAGCAGAGGGGCCTGGGGCGCTGGCCGGCGACGGCGCCGCGCGGGACGTGGCGGTGTGGCAGCCCGTCTTCGCGTCCGCGGGCGGCTTCCCCAGGTGGGATTGGCGCTTATCATTGAAGGGTGGCTCATGGTTGGACGACGGCGTCGGTCAGGAGCTTTGGGCCTGCCTCGTTTTGCTCCGGCGACATGCACCAAACCTGGACTGCTTAATTCTGGATTCACCAGCAATGCAACCCGACGGAATCGCCATGACTTGACACCCCACACAAAACCTGCCCGCTTTTGCTCACTGCGCAACCATGCAGGCTGCTCTACATCCCAGTCCCAGAGTACTTCGACCTCTCCGCCGCCGAGGGCGCCTCAAACTCCCAGCAGGGCCGCATCAGCCGCCTCAACGCGGGCCCGCCGGGCCCGAGAGGGAAGCCGCCAGGAAACTACGCGAGCGCGCTGGGCCTGGTCGACGTGGTGACTGAGCTGGGGCCGGTGACAACCCATTTTCTGGGGCCCTGCCTGTGGGCGGACGACCAGACCTTCGAGTACTGGGTGGAGAGCTGCAGGGTGGAGGTGCCGGCGTGGAACGTAAAGTTCACGGTGAGAAGACGGCGGCGCCGGGCTGCCGGCGGTCCTGTTTGACAGGGTGACCGTGCAGCGGCGCGCCCCGAACGATGCATCACAGGCCAGCAGCGGGCGCCGTGCGCCTTTTCCAGCTTTGCGGTTTTCAGGGGAGAGGGGGGAGCCCAGACCGCCTGCTGCACGGTAGTGCAGTGCTGCGTGTTCGTAGCCTGAAGGTGCGCATGAATTGCACCCCCAACTCCCACATGTGACCCGAAGTTGGACCCCGCGTACGATGACCTCCCTCCAAACACACCCCACCCCTGCCACGACCCAGATCCCCTTCCGCCTGAGCAACGCGCTGACCTTCTTCTACGTTGACCGGGCCGCCGGCCTCGCCTGCGCGCGCAGCCGCATAGGCGGGACCATGCTGCTCGCCGCAGACCCGCCGGCCGGCGCCAAGTATGCGGGGGCGGCGTCCGGCGAGCCCGGGGCACAGTGAGCACACAAGGAACCTTGGCGGGGCGGGGCACTCTGGCACCCCGCACTACTGGTGTCCCCAGCATGTTGGCGCGCAGCCGACGCGCTCTACCATCGGCGGCTCATCCGCCGCTTGTACCTTGTCATGTATCATCATGGTGTTGCAGTGATGAATCTGCACCACACACCAGGCGGGGCTGAGACGGCCTCGCAAATCAGCCAACCCTCACGCGTGGCCAAGGGAAACTGCAGCGGCAGAAGCTGCCCCGCGCGCTGCGAAGCGGCTTGGCAGCTTGTTGGGGCTGCAACAGTGTGCTGGTTGCTGCCATGTAGCGCGTGCCTTGATTAGCCGTCAGCTGCCTGCTGTGGTGTTTTGTATTGCCCTGCTGCCACGCATGCAGCGGCTGTCGGCTGCTGCATTCTCATGCATGCACCAGCACACCTGGGCTGCGTTCACCTGCCGCTTTGCTACCATGATACAGCGCTGTTTGTCACGTTGTGGTGTGGATGGGCGCCTGTGTCGGTGCCTGTCAAGGCCCCATGCGCGTCCCCCTGCCACTGCACGCTCTTCGCCGTCGCAGGCGACGCAATTGGTGCGCTGTTGTTGCATGCTGCAGATACCCAATCGTGGCTGCGCGCACCCAACACACCCGACGCCGCTGCAACTGATGGCGGTGGCGAATAGGTGTCCAGGCCCGGGATGACGCGATTGTGCGCGCTATGTAAAGACCAATTGGTAGCTGCTGTGCTCTTGAGATCAATGTGCACTGCATGCGGACACGAGCTTTTGTTTCTGCCTTGTCTTGAGTGTTGACGAGGTAGCGCTCTATGGTCTTGCTGTATCGTACATAGGCGTTTGACCTGCACAGCAAACAAGCAGCAGCAGCGACACAGCGAGGCGGCGACAATCATGCAGCCCGAGGACTGGGTTGCTGATGAGACGTGTGTGCCACAATCACGTCCGCACCAGCTGATGATGTGCGTGCGCGAGCAGGCGAGCAGGCAATTCTCAACTTGCGTCAGCTCGGGGTGCTGAGTGATTTGCCCTGAGTGTGTGCCCTTCCCCTGATGTCGTGCGTGTTTTCAATACAGTAGGGCCAGCTATGGTAGCAACTCTCGCCGGTTCACTGAGTTGCTGTAAAGGAAGGGCTATCGGGATTGCGAGCAGGTGCAGTCAGCAGGTGGTCCCGGGG